AAAATTGTTCTCAATCATCCAGCCCTTCACTATCTTCCACTTCAAACAATCATTTTTATGTTTATATGTAAATCTGTAATGAAGAGGAGATTCCTTAGGTTTCTGAGAATATTGAGGATGTTGTTGATTAGATCTCTTATGTTGAGGTTGAGAAAACTGTTGACTACTTGTTGAAGGCACTGGAAGCCTCTCTTCAAAAGCATGTTGCATATAACTTGTTCTGATATTTGCCAAACTCCTGTGATTCCAGTCTGCAAAAGATATATCCTGTTGAATTGCAGATTGGCCTCTAAGAGCCGCATCAAAATTCACAACACATGTCCAATCTGCTTTCTGACCATTGGACATAAACCCGCATTTAATACATGTAGCCTATTTAACAAAGTATTTAAAACCATGAGGAAAAGCTTCCTGATATGCTTGCTGTAGAATATCAAAGTACTAAAACCAGTCCTGGATATCATTCAATTTACTAGCAACTTTTGCATTTTTTATTTTGATATCTTTATCTTTACCAGCCACCATAAGATTTATTGAAACACCTTTCCTTCCAGCCATATACTCTCCTTTAATTCTCCTAAGATCAATATATTTGCCATGTAAAAGGTCTTTTGACAAATTTGAAGGGAAAATTGCCAGTTTAACCATATTGTTGAAAGATTCCACAGCTTTTGATGAATTGGGAGTGTAACCTGTAACTGTTTCAGAAAACACCAACACAGGTTCAGACAGATTTTCTGAAGCAGATGATGCCAAATCAACTCTTTCAATAAATTCCCAGGATTTCTGCATTTCATTTTTCTTAACTTCTGATTCATCATCATCTGAGTCCGCATCCAATTTATGGACACTTTTCTAGCAACAAACGGAGAAATTGATTTTGAGAGCTGAGGAGGTTATTGGAGATCCAACATGTCTCTAGCCTTCTCCACATTGTTGATCTGCTCTTGAATAAGAATAGGAATTTGTGCAATGCTACGGTTACTCCCAACAGGTGAATATTGATGACTTTTGGAAAGATCAGGTGGGTAGATCAGATTATTGTTGATATCAAGAACATAGACCTGATCTTCTTCTGACAAAACTGGTCCAGTAGTTATAGGGCCTTCATTTTTGTAAATAGAACGGTTTGCTGTCCTGTCCAGTTCAATAAGACCGGTTGCAAACTTTGACCACTGTTTATACCAGTTTATAGATGAAGAAGGGACAATATCTGCATATTTAGATTGAACCCAAGCCATGGCTTTACCGTTGGAACCACCAGCCACTTCATATTTGGTAGTAAGGGTGGCCAACTTATTGGTAACCAGAGTAGCAGCTTTTAAATCAAAGCTGGCATCACTCATTGACGGTTTTTAAGAAAATAGTTTTTAAAATAATGGTCTTGAAGATAAACTGTTTTAAGGATGTTTTGTTGTGAGCTGGTAGATGAGGTTAAACTTTATAATGATGACTTTATAACACAAAAACTATCACTAGAGAAAAGGAATCAATGAAACTACTATTGTGAACACTCTGTGAATGGAAAAGCAATAAAATTTGGTAAACCTGGAAAACAGCAAAGAAATCAACAAAGATCCAACCCATTATGTAGTATAGTTACACAACATTGAAGGAAATATTCAGGTGGTCAACTGCTTCCTTGTCAAGAAGTATTGCAATATTTTGTTGATACTGCTTGATGACAAGTTTGATCCAAATTAGATGAAGAAAACTTCTCAGTTCTTAGCCCTGATTTAAGTGAGTTTTGTTTGGTATGGGGTTAAGCAAGTCTTTGCATCAACTGACAACCACCCATCTGAGTCTTAACTAGGGCTGTGACCCTGCCCCAGCACCACCCAGCCAACTGTTCTTACTGCTTTTCTGGAACCAGGCAGTATGTGCCCTGGCACTCCAAAACCTGATTGGTAAGACTCATAAAATCCCTGCAGGAACCCTGCCAGCCTGGTCCACCCAGTTGCAGATCAGTTTTTTTGCTGGATATTCAGCAAAATTGCCTTCTGAGTAGGCTCATACAAGTTCTATATGAAATTTCAGACACCTAAGTGTGTGATGAAAGCCAGAATCCCCTTTTGGTTCTTTTTGGCCTCTCTGATCAACTCAGGGACTCAGGAGCGCCCTGGTTTGCCCTGAGTGATTCCTGGATCACTTGAGGTCTGCCCAGAGCCAGGTCCTAGTCTCAACCCCATCCTCTGCACAATTCACACAGTGCAAACCAGAAAGTAAGTTGACCTTCTTGATCTCATGATCCCACACCAACAGAACCTCATTGTAACCTGGCTCCTGATAAAAACATCAGATGGTAACAATAAGGATATATTCACTTGGAACAACAATGAAAAAAGAAGTTTGAGTAAACCCTGGTGGTATATAGAACTCTGCAGCTGGACAAGACCTTGGGGTTTCAGGCATGAGACTGTTTATTGGGTCAACATCCATAACCAGCCAGAGCACAGTCTAAAGTGAAAACATAAGATGAAACCTGATGAAACACAATGTAATACAGCTGCATAATTGGATTGACACTATGGCTATGCACAAAGAACACATCTGGAGCCAATCAAGATACATAAAATTGTCCTCATGTCCATTCATCTTGGAATTTTTCCCTCCCAGAGTGCGGTGCACAGGCTCCGCTCTCTATGGGGGGGAATAGCGGTGCCAATTACCGCTACACACGCGCTCTGCAACAAGGAAAATGTGCGTAGCGGCTGCGGTATTGATGAGGATCAGGGTCCACTCATGTTTACAGTCAAAATTAAATCCATATTCTGATCTAACCTAAGCAAGTCCCTCCTCAAACCAGGTGCATCCTTTGGAGCTTGTGGAAGAGGGACTTACAACCTATCACACTTCCTCACAGGGTACCAATGCTTTTTTGGAAAAAACTACACTCTTCACACCAAAACTACACTACCCCGTTCCCTATAAACACCTCCCAAATTAACAGGCTGTCCATTTCTGATACATCTTGTACATAATACCCCTCAATATCTACATGCCTTGATAAAAAAAATATTGGCTTGAGGTAAGAGTGAAGAGTCTCCAGTTTTGGAGCAACAATCAGAGGACTGTGGATGCTTTACCTCTGTCTCTGACAAAATTTTTAGAGAGGCTTTGGTTTGGCAGACAGGAATTGAGACGCTTGTGTACAAAATTGTACAGTCGTTTTCAAAAAGCTTGTCACAAATTCACTGCCAAATGATCCCAAATCGCTCGAGTTTTGCGGGCAAATTTGGACAAGCTTTTTGCAAACGACTGTAGCAGTCTCAGCGGTGGTGGGCGCGGCTTTGAAAACGCAAGGCGCGCCCAGGTGTGAAATTCGCCGGGGGGACACGAGGACCCCGGTATGCTCCTATAAGGGGTACTACCTTTGCTAAAAAGCTTGCCCGGTTCGATCGCAAACAAGAGACAAGAGAGGTCGAATTTGGCCACAGCCTGCTGCGAGGCCGCTGCGCAACTCGTCAAGATCCCAAATTTGGCCGATCGCAAATTCTGAAAGAGATCGACTTCACCTGTGGATCTCTGACTTTGGGATATGTTGAGATCTATCATAAAGCACAAATATCTACCTCATCATGATGAATTCATGCTCACACTTCTATGCGACTTCTATCGCGCTGCGGGTGCTACAAAGATTTGCTTTAATCAAGACTGCAGAAAGTGATCTTAGTCGAACGGCTTGATGTGGCGTGAGCCGCCAACGTTAGTGGTCTTGCCAGCATGGGATCAAGGCCAATTGCGTGAACTTTTTTGCTAAAATTTCGAAATTAATTCAAGGCATCTTGGACATGTGTCAGTATTCTATGGTGACCTCATTTGAGCTCTTGACTGAGCACGAAGAACAAAAGATTTTCAAAAAAAGGTGTTGTCCTTTTTGACTTGTACTTTTTTATCTCATGAAGCCAAAACAAAAAAGCACAAAAGTCCATAAAGGCTTGAACACACTACTACCGATTGAATCGAGAGCGTGATCACAACCACTACTTCAAACCATTGCACCAGGAGAACTCTGGAATAGGCGGTGATTTCCATTATGAATAGCGTCGAATTAGAGCTGCACTCGACTGTATGGTTGATCTTGACATACCAAGCTCCAGACATGCTGTGAATATAGTCATAATGTGTCTCAGAATTGGTTGAAGTCAGAGATCCACAGGTGCAGTCGATCTCTTAGAATTTGTGATCGGCCAAATTTGGGATCTTGACGAGTTGCGCAGCGGCCTCGCAGCAGGCTGCGGCCAAATTCGACCTCTCTTGTCTCTTGTTCGCGATCGAACCGGGCAAGCTTTTTAGCAAAGGTAGTAGTCACACAGAAATGTGACTTTTGAGCTCCCGTGGAGATACTACACATGGGATTATAGAGACCTGCCAGTTTCTGCCTTTGCTGTATTGCCACAGATTGCCACTCTTTAGGATAAAACCAGTCCTAGATCTATGGGTGAAGCCAGGGAAAGACTTAGCGGTTTGGCAGGGGCTCATCTCCGCGGAGCTCAAAAGTCACATTTCTGTGTGACTACCCCTTATAGGAGCATACCGGGGTCCTGGGACACGCCCGAATACCAGGGTTCTTGGTCCAAAAAAAATCCCCAGAAAGAGAAAAAGGCTTTATAAGAAGGACAATCTTCTCCAGCCAAATCTCATCCCCCTCACAGGCAAAAGCATACGAGTTTCAGTTGATTTCAGGTTGGTGGGGCCTGTGTCAAGCTAGTGGTATGATGTGTCCAAAATCGATCGAACTTGCATCTAGTATTCGTCTAGCTGGGTTTCAACTTATCAAGTAACCATTGGTTTGTTTGTCTCACGATTACGTTGAGTCTTGAGAAAGGTTTTGGGGGGAGGGGCTGGCTGGAGCTGGTCTAGGTATCACACAGCATCATACTCCTTGGAGGCAATGCAATATGTACACCAACATCGTCGAGGCCCCAGACCGCTTGAGCGAGCTTTTCATTCAACCCGCATCCTAGACCACCTGATCACAACGCTTCAGATCAATGATAATGCCACGCGGTCATCTCCTTTCATCTTACCTGATCCCGATGATCATCCGTTCGATTCGCTGCGACCTCCTTGATGAACCTCTTCTAGCGAAGTCCGCTGTCACGAAACTTTATCAGACAGATGGAGAAGATCTCGAGATAGGCTGGGTAGACTCTTTCACAGATCGCCAATCGGGAAAAAACTCGGCGAATAGAGGAAATTCCAATTCTATTCTTGATATCACCAAAGGAAAATTTGGAGGGCTTTTCAAGGCCACTCGAACACAAACGCCTCAAAGCAAAGTTTCAATCAGCTGGGAAGTCTGTTATGATATTGCTCAAAGAATTTCTGATACATCCAAGCCTGTTGAAGTACAAAACATGGCTGCGGCTGTCCTGAGCATAGGCCGACATTTTGATCTTGATCAATATGATGCTCAAGCGGTAATATCTACAATCACTCTTCACTCTCTTTCCCTTCAGGGTGATTCTTTGAATACAGCGGAGAGGATTTGGTCTGTTGGGGTATTGGTATACCTAAGAGCTCAACTCTCGGAGGAGTATCGAAATTCCTTACAAGCTGCGATTCCTGCTGTCTGGACAGCTAAGGACTTGGGCAGGCCGCGGGGACAGTTTCTGCTTTTCTTTCTGCAAGGTCAGTGTTTCGAACTTTGAATGCGACAATCTCTCAATGACTGAGGCCGTTCGAATGTGAATTTCATTGATTAGACAAAGACTTGGGGAAAGCAGCTCAGGAAATGTGGTCAGAACTCCCGCCCAAAGTAGAAACATCCGAATATGGTGAGTGACAAGTATTTTTCGTATGGTATATGAGCTTTCTAATCGTCTCTTATTAATCCAAGTCATTCAGGAGGCAATGCAAAGGGAATCAATAGTTTATCTAATCCAAACACAAATGGTCACCACCCGCCATCGCCCTTCAGCAGAATTTCAAACAATTTACCTCGCTTTCATCAATCTGAAAACTCCCATAGGTTCTGAAAAAGCTTCATCATTGATGAAATTAATTTTAAATTGTTTGAAACAACCCAAAACGCCGAAGAGGGATGGATTTGACGAGGAGACAAACATGGTTCGATTGCTATTACATCTTGAGGAATATCATTATGGGAGCTATCTACACTTCACACAATCAGTCAAATCGGCAAGGGTTCAAGAGAAGATACTAGAGAGTGACATAAGTTTTCAACTTGCAGATGAGACCCTAGCTCCGCCGTTCAAACGTATCCTGAAAGAATTTGAAAACTTACAAATCATCAACGAAGATCAAATTCCCAAGATCTTGGAAATCTTGAAACTTGAACAAATATCAATTCCTCAACTATCAAGATTATTCAGAGCACTAAACTGGGTATTCAATAGACAGATAGCGATGTATGATTACTTCCAAGTCCGACTAGATGATTACTTCGAAATGGTTCCAAGGCTCTTCGAGATGTTAACTACGCGTCGGTTTGGTCGATTGGACCCGCGTTCGTTTTCGTGGGATTCTCTAGAGTTTCTTATCTATAGTGATAGTAAGTTTATTTAGGTGGTTTTTGGAAGATGTTATACCAATAATTGATAACTGTTCGTGTTTGCATTGAAGACGAAGATCATGTAGCGAAGCAGTATAGAAATGCATTAGCAAAGGTTTTGGTAGCCAAGAGCGTGCTTTCAGAGAACGACATTGCTCCAGATTCCGAGCATTTGCGCGGACTTTCGAAAAAAGAAATCCTTACTCGGATGTTGTTTGGTATCTTCAAGCGGGTTTCGGCAGCCAAAACATTTGAGCACAGCGACAAGGTCACAGAAGCCATCCTTACAGAATACACTCTACACCTTATTGTATCCAAAATGGGTCAACGGACTCTATACCACCGCCTTCTCACATTTAAGCACGACCCAGAGAGGCTTCCCACCCGTCAGACTGTGGCCTTCACTATGCTTAGCGAACAAATATTTGAGTTTGTTAAGCATCATTCTTGGAATGATGATAACCAATTCGATGCGTTCCAAGCGGCTCTTATCGATCTTGAATGGCAGCTCATCTATGTGGATATATCTCTACCACCACCGAAGTGATGACAGGCCACATGGGCGAAGAAAGGCAAACTTGACAATTATGGGATGACGCAGCAGATGCTTTGGGCAAGATGTTGATATGCTCAGAGAGTGTAAAATCTGATAGCTCTTAGATCAACTACTTGCGATCTCCTGATATTACATATGTGCAATCATAAATATTGTTCAAGTATAGGCATCGGTACAAACTTCCTAGTTGAATCGAAACACAGAAGAACATACCAAAGGGTGACAGAACTAAGGTGTTATACGAACTAAAAATGACAAAATGAGTGTATGTGGCTGGAGATGGTTGCAGAGGAGACTCGTCCAGGGTGTGGGCGCGCGGGCAGTGAGGTTTCCTCGAAAACCAGGAGTGGTCACGTATCTTGAAATCGAGTACATCGTCTGTGATAAGTTATGCCTACAAACAAATCCACGGTCTCATATTACCAACAGTGATACAACTTGTATGCATCCGTACATTATATACTATTTAGCTGGGATCATTAGTGTGTCACCACCGCGTGTTGCAACATGATGATGATGTTTCAGAAATGCTCATTGTGACGTTCTGGTATGATGCTTCCTTTGATCAGGTGATGAGATGTAACATTGAAGCGCCAGACTACTTGATCGAGCACTTTGCACAACCCTGATTCTCGATCGAACCAATCGATCACACCATTTCAGAATCGGATCATTGAGAATGACACACCTTTATTTCCTCTCTTTCTACCTGATTTGGCTGCTCTTCCCTTTACTTGACTGCTCTCCTTTTGATATCCCTCTTCTGGCGAAGCCCTCTGTCAAGAAACTTGATGAAATATATGGCGACGATCTCAAGACTCCTCTCTTAAAAGATTCTTCCACAGCTTTCCAAGTGGATCGGCAGAAGCCAAACCGAGGAAATGTCAAGTCAATCCTTAAATTCACCAAAGGAGGCATCACAAATCTTGTCAAGACACGAACCCGAACCCGAATTCCTCAGAGTCAAGTTTTACTTAGCTGGGACGCATCCTATGCTATTGCTCAAAAGGCTGATAAACCATCCGAGGTTTCTGAAGTACAAGCCATGGTCAAAACCATCCTGGACTTGGGCCCTCAATGTAATGCAGTTGATATCAACAAGTTGATATCTAGAATCAATCTTCATTCTCTCTCTCTTGAAGATGATTCTTTACGTCCAGCGGAGAGGCTTTGGTTTGTTGGGGTACTCTCATTTCTAAGATCGCGACTTCCGGAGGAGGATCAAAAAGCTGCACACTCTGCAATTCCTGATCGCTGGACAGCTGCTGACTTGGGTAGGCCTCGGGAACAATTTCTGCGATTTTTCTTGAAAGGTGAGCATTATTGACTTGGAATCTAATGATATACCAATAGCTGAGCCCGTGATTTTTTTTGAATGCAAATGCCATTGAACAGGAACACACTTGAGAATGGCAGTTCAGGATATGTGGTCAGAAGTTCCTTCCAAGCTAGAGACATCCGAGTATGGTGAGTGGCAGGAATTACTCTTCCATCTATACGAGGTTTCTAATCATGGTGCTTCTGTCAATCCCAGTCATTCAGGAGGCAATGCAAAGGGAATCAATTGTGCATCTTATCCGAAAACAGATTCGCATGGCCAATGCCGCCAATCGACCATCAGCAGAATTTCAACGACTTTATCTCGCGTTCATCAACTTGGATACTCCCATAGAGTCTAATAAAGCTTTTGATTTGGTTGCATCGATTATGAAACATTTGGATCAACCGAAACCCACAGAGAAGGATGGCTTCGATGAGGAATCAAACACTGTCCGATTGCTATTACATCTTGAAGAATATCATGAACAGAGCTATCGACAGTTGCACTCATGGTTCAAATTGCGAAATTTTGAAGAAAAGATATTTGAGAGTGACGTGCGCTTTCAACTTGCAGACGAGACGCTGGCTCCGCGGTTCAAACGTCTCCTGAAAGGATTTGAAAACCCAAAAACTATCAATGAGCCTCAAATCATCAACGTCCTCGAAACCTTGAAACATGAGCAAATATCAGATCCTCAAGTTGGAAGATTGTTTAGAGCACTCGACTTCGTATTCAACAGCTACGAGAGGGGGAATCACTTTCGTCTCCTATTAGATGAATACCCCCAAATCGTACCAAGGCTCTTTGAGATGTTATCGAAGCGTCGTTATGGTCGACTCAACCCGCGTTGGTTTCTGCATGATACTCTAGAGCATCTGATATATATGGCTAGTAAGTCATATCAAATGCTCATTGAAAGATGCTATGCACATCGCTTATCACCATTTTTTTCAACACAGACGAAGATCGCATAGCCAAAGAATATAGAAATGAACTCGCAAACCATTTGGTATCAAGAGGCGTGCTTTCAAAGGACGAGATTGTTCAAGACTCCGAACATCTGCCTCGAGCGGACAAAGACCCCATCCTTACGAGTATGCTGTTTGGAATATTCAAGCAGGTTTCGGGATTGAACAAATTCATGCGCAATGATAAGGACACCAACTCCATACTTGTAGAATACATCCTTCACCTGATGATATTCAAAATCGATCGAAATGGCCTATCCCGTCTAGTTCTGTCCTATAAGAACGACCCAGAAAGGGTTCCCGATTATCACACTGAGAACTTCATTCTGCTTTACAAAGAAATAGCTCAATTTCTTATAACAAAGTCTTGGGATGTTGATGACGCATTTAATAAGTTCGCACCAGAACTTCAAAAACTTCAAACGCGGTTACGGACTTATGCATCGATGCTATGAGATAAAATCCTCGAACGAAGTGTCGACAGTGGAGATGGGTGAATAGTGGAATACTGAAGTTAAAGGATGAAGTACCAAATTATCTGGGCTAGTCCACATGTTTGATTATCGTTCAATCCAACAAGTTCTCCATCACGTCATAATCAAACTTACAGTGTATTAATATCCCTTCTATAAGTTCAATCATTTGAATCCCACCAACCAATTTAATCATGAAGCTTCATCATCATTCTTTTTTCTCTTATTTCCAATATTCACATAATTCTTTACCACCTCTGATTGATTTATCTCTCTTCTTCTTTCATTATGAATATTTTACTTGATTTTTTTAGAAAGTGGTTGTAGGTTGATCAAAGTACCTTCACATGTTCCACTGCTTTAGCTCTTAATTAATAATTCTAGCTGTCTAATACTGGGCAAGGGTGCGCTTTCGGAGTACATGTCCAAAAGCAAAGAAGCAAAATATGTAAAGATTTTGTTCCCCAAGGAAACGAATTGTCTGCCATCTTGATATATATGAAGCTGTGTGGTTGAAAGAACAGCACAGGGAAGTCTGAAAGAGTCCATACTGGAAAGCTACACCCTGGTTCACTCAACCTCCATGTAGCGCCTTCGCTGATGTCCATTTCCCAAGGCGCTCGCAGTGCAGTAAATAGCAACCCTTTTATCTCTGAGGTTTGCAACAAAGTGAAATTAGATCATAAGGCTTTACCGCATGTTGATAATGAGTTCATGCTCCTCTTGACAATAGCTACATTTGTTTCTGCAACACAGGTCAGTGAGCAACAAATTTCTTGTGCAGTACTTTTCAATAGGCTGCCTTGGTGATTGAGAAAGTCAAGTTTTATGAGACCGTATTCATACCGCCTTGGATCACAATGGCTTGGTTGGATTTGATTAATTCATTTGTGACTGATCAATCATATAATCTCGTCGTTGTGCGCTGTGTATCAAGTTGAAATTGAATCCAAGATGTTGATTAAAGAGGTCATAAGGTCAACCATGGTCCATTGACAGACCCCTTTTGTTTAGAATACTGAGTGATGGTATATAAGTCAATATTTGTGACAAGCTTTTCTGAATTCGAGGTTACCAACAGGTACCACCCTGTACCACCCCACCAGTCATTTGATCATGTCATACATCGATGTCACGAGGTGTAGGTTAAGTACATTGTTATCTGATTAAGGTACGGAACTTATATTTACACGTTACTTAAACCCAAATGGTCATTACCCTTAGGGTGTGTGTATAATTCATTTAAATAAACCCTTCTTGTTAGCATTTTGGATTAGTTGACATTTCAGGTTAACCAAGCTTTATAGATACTTATCTCAACTTTTACCTACTCACTCTTCAACTTCCGATTCTAAACTCATCAACCTTCTCATCTCTCAATCGTCGGTCTTGATCTCTTTCATCTTAACTTGATCAACTTACTCACATCTTATAAACATCTGTTTCTAGCTACCTACCAATTCAAGTTACACCACTCCTAAAGCTTATCAACAACTTTCCCTCATCAGTCTAATCTCGACACAACAGCTTAAAGAACACCTTTACAACTTACTCTCTATTCGGATCTAACGGCTCACAATGATAGGTTTCAACTCACTACCCCCAACGCACCCCTATGTGATATTTGTTGTCATCAATCTTGATGCTAACATCTCCTGTGGATGCTTTTCTCCGGTTGGCTCATGCACAGCACACCCAAAAGACGGATCGAGACAGATGTGATGAAGATGTGAGTGAGATGGCCTTGGATCTTTCTCTCTAAATTACTAAACTTTTGCTTGATTTCTGATCTCGGAAATTAATGAAAATATTTGTGGTGCTTTATAGGCTAATGTCGGATTACGAAGTGACATTGGTGAATGATAGCATGCAGGAATTCTATGTTCGATTCTATGGACCCAACGAAAGTGAGTAGACTAACATCACTCATACTTTCTTATCGGAGGAACGGGAATGGACTCAAACTGTTTTTCGATTTGATAATTAGCTCCATTTGCTAATGGTGTGTGGAAGATTCACGTTGAACTTCCAGATCAGTATCCATACAAATCACCTTCGATAGGATTCATGAATAAGATTTTTCATCCGAATATAGATGAACTCTCTGGTTCAGTTTGCTTAGATGTCATCAATCAAACATGGTCTCCAATGTTCGATCTGATAAACATCTTTGAAGTCTTTTTACCTCAACTTTTGAGGTACCCTAACCCTTCTGATCCACTGAATGGAGAAGCAGCAGCATTACTGATGCGTGAACCTAAAAACTATGATGCTAAAGTCAAAGGTAAGCATATTAAATCTTCCATTTCCGGCATATTTCGAGCCACCACTAAAGTTGTCTTCTTCAACAGAATATGTTCAACGATATGCAACTAAGGAGAAAGCAGATGAAGCTGGATCTGAAGAAGAGGATGAGGATGATGAGATGAGTGATCTGGGTAGCTTCAGTGATGGTGACGATGAACCAGCTGGGGAACTAGAGCTATGAAAATTTCTCTCGGATGTGTCATGTTTGATTTCATCTTCTCTCTTTGTGTTGGGTTTTTCAGTTTAAATTCAATACTCATCTCCTTCTACCTGTATTGTAACTCACTTTCCTAAACGGTCCACTTGCTGCAATTTGAATCTTGTCTTCATTCTGATTCTTTTTTTCTGATTTTTTTGGTTTTTCTTTTGTGCCACTACATACCATTTCTTTTTGTCTGCTACTCATCTTTGATTTCGTTTTACACAAATGAGTAGTAGGGTTCTTTGTAGGAAAGGTTGTGGTAGATTTTATTTTGTTGACTATCTATGGATTTTCATCTCATGCTTTGTATCGTGTTTTTAATTGCAAGATGGTTGTGTATTTGGACCCAAACATTTTTTTTGAAGAAAAAGATGATTCCTTTTTAAGATTTAATTAATGAATGATTTGATCAGTTGCATAACCTCTTTCTTTGCAGGAAAAAAATCAATGGTCACTTTCTTGATACACAACCAAAACATGGATTGATCATTGCTTGGAAGAAGAAATCTTGTCTTGATAGAGTGTTTACCATATTCCAAAGAAGAACATACTACAATTCTGACTTGAGAAAGCATAGCTTGGGGATACCCAGATAACATTAAAGACGAACTGGAGATTTATACCAGTAACCATCACCTACCATTGTGGTTTTGACTATGAGTCAATTTCAACAAGACATACTCAGATCGCGAACATTCACCCGAACCAAAATTGTAGAAGCGAGACAACCAGATTGTGCTTGAAAATTTAATCTGTTGAACGGAAGGAATTACATACCATCGATTCGAGAAATCTTGAATAATTCTTTGCCCGCAACACTCAAGACTTCAAGGCTCCTTACAGCTTGGCGGATGATTTTTGTCAAGAGTCTTGGAAGTCGAATGATTATGTGGTGTGGACGGTTGTTTTCCTACAACTCAATATATGATTGTTTCCTCAACTTCACTTACTCATCAATACTTTGAAACATCAAGGCAACCTTGGTAATGACTCTATCTCATAAAATATGGATACGTCATGTGAAACATTGGTTTAAATCCATGTAGTGTTAGTTGAAAAGATCTTCCCCAAAACTGACATGGAGCCGCAAGATGGAAATCTGGTGGCAATATTATGTCTTGGATGATAATTTGTCAAAGGAAAGAGTCGAGAAAATCAACTTGGTCAGCTTCTTGCTTTGGTATCCGGAAAACACTCGTGAAAAGCTCCCGGAATTTGATGGTAAGTTAAAGAAACTCTGTACAGTCTCCTCCAAGAGCAGTACCGGGGAAGATCTTATGGGCAGGAATTGGGTCACATCACCTGTGAACTATTCTGATGCAATTTATCAACTCATGAGCACATAAACAGCCGCAAACTTAGAAGCATACTCAAGAGAAAGAACTTTGATCAGGGCAATTTAGAGCAATTGGTTAGGATTAGTTTGACTTGAAGTCTATGGTAAAGGGGGTGTGGGACCAGTTCTTGGTACCAATGTGACCCAGTGGTTTTGAGTCCTAGGTGTGGGAACATGTACACCACAAAGACACTTGGATACCTTTGGGATGTGCTCTTTTTTGGGTCCACCGGGTGTCCCTCGTGTACACTGCCATGGAGACTTCCAAGATGCACTTGGAATCTGGACTACCAACACCACCATGGCCTCTGAGGGATGAATTGAGGATGCCCCACCTGTAGGACATCTCAATGATGCCCCAACTTGAGAGGCTTCATGTCTTTGTTACACCACAAGGACATGCTGATGTCCTAGGGACGTCAGGATTCTTTGCAGAGGAAGGGATATCCTGACAAAACTGATCCAAGGAGCCCGGGTCAGAATCAAAATTTGGGACATCCCACAGGCTTCCAAGGGTGTTCTTATTTAAATGTAGGCCCAGCCTGGCATCCTGAGTGTGTGCTGCAGATGTCCGCACGCACTGACATCCAGGGGACAGCCCAAACGGGGGTGCCGACAGAAGAATATGATCTCGGACAATCCCGACGTCCTTCCGCTCAGATGCGTCTTTGTGGTGTACACATCTCCCAACAGTTGGCGGCCCCTTTCATGATTACAATGACCAGCACAAATGTGCACCTGTACTTGATCATTTGTAGTCTGAAGCTTCTTTTTTCACTTGATACAATCATTGCAACTTTGGCCGCCTCACTTCTCAATTTGGCCTGTGGTAGCTCAGGAGGGATTATGGACACTCACAATATAGGTGTATCAAAGTCTACAATAGAGTGATCTGATGAAAGCATGGCAGGTTCTTGACCTTGGCATCAGGATCTCCTGAGCTGCATCCCTGGGTTTGGTAACACCAAGCAACCAACTTGAACAAAACTTGTCTCTGATTCTGATGAAAATCTTGAAAGAGAGAAGGACACTCAAAAGTTGAAGGAAAAGTTATGTTTGACTCCTTTCCAGAAGTCAGAGACAACTGGAATCTTGCTACAACCTTATTTTGGTCCATTTCTTTTCAAAACTGTTTCTTCATCTCTAGAGAGAAACACTCTTTATGCAGAGTCAGTTTCTGTTTGGCTGCCTCTACACCAAAGGTAAAGTAGAAAAGGGATTGTGTAGGCTCAACCTGGTAGAGCCATGTTAAGATTACAGTTAGCCAACCTCTAAGAGTATTTATTGCCAGTGGGATGGCAGAGTAGTACTTCTAAGTATCTAACTTGGAGCTTTGGTCAATCATACAACTAAAAAGCCTGCAGTACTTTAGATTCTGGAGGTTCAGAGTTGGCATGGCACAATTGAGAGTCTTTGAAGAGGAACCCTTTGTAAGTCCAAAGCATTTTTTGTGAGATATTAATCCCACCAGCTCAGAACATCACTTGAGGTTTTATAACTGGATCATAAGGAACTATGACAATCAGAATACAACTATTTCACTTTACTCAATATTCTTTGTGAAGAAACAAGTGACTTGTGATGTTGTGTTGTGGATTGATGTAAAGTTTGTTCCTCTTCTAAAGTGGGAAGAGGACGGGTCTATATATTCAAGACCTAGGACTCAACTTGTGGTTAGTGCTTAGGTTTAACATTACTACATAATCCATACTTAAGTCTTATTGTTATAAGTGATTAGCCGTGCTCAAAGTTGACCCAGTTGCTTTTTGGCAGTAACTTTGTGCACCAAGTTGAAATTTGTTGACAGCTCACAGCCAAAAAGTCAACTGGGTTGACCAGGTTTTTTGTAACCGGGTCAACTTTGAGCACGGCTATTGTTGACTATGGGCCATGAGGTGTACTTCTTATGGTTTCAGACAAGTTACATATATTTACATATGCATTACATACATTTACATGTGAGTCTGTTAGTCTGTAGTCCTGGACACAGCGATCAGGACTACATTCCCCAGCACCAGTGGAGGTCATCCTTCAATATACTGTTGGTGTCCTCCATTCTCAATGGCCCACCCTTTGAAAGTTTGTCATAGTGTTATTCCAAATATGCTGTCTTCTTCATTCTCAATATAGTATACTCCACAAATTCCATATTAACTTCTCCAATATCCTGGTCTTGTACATTCTCCATGGTATCAATATGGCCAATGGCTTTAATTTTGCCTTTACATGTCTTCCAGACATGGGTATTTCAAGTTCCACATGTATGACAAGCTTTGTTTTTCCACCTATCAGAGGGGTTCACCCCAGACTGTAAATTAGCCTTATCACTATCCTGTCCTACAACAGAAGAATCTGTTGACACCTTTGACATTCCTCTGTTCTGACATGTTTCTGCAGACATCCTCAAATACTAATAGGAAATCAGTCCATCTGGCTGGTTCCTTTGGTTTACTTGTAACCCAGATCCTCAAGTTACCCACATTTGAACTGGGGATGACCAAGTGGTCCAACATGTACAACTTCTGCCTCTCATTTTTCCATGCATGATTGCCAGATATTTCATGCATTGCGCTTCTCCATTTGGCCCCAAATTTGGAGATCTTTGTCTTTAGACAAGTGTATAAACTGGTGCCTGGCTAAGCCTTGATGCACAATGCTGAGTTTTGCTACAATAAGCTCATCTGGTATCTGCATAGTTTTGGCTGCTCTATCAACCCAATCTATAAATTCTTGATGGTTATATTCACCTTCACCATCAAAAGTGAGCCAATCTTTAGGGCAGCCCTGGCAAAGCTTTGCCACTTTGTACTCATGGCTTCTTTTTTCAGTGATGGTTCTTTCCCTCCACGCTCAGATATGTGGTCCTGAATGTTGTATAAAACCAGGATATTAGAGTAGTGATTTTGTGAGGATTGTATCAAGTAAAACACTTCATGGAATAGTAGCAAGTGTAAGGGTTTGTTCTGAGGATTGAAATTAAAAAAATCAAAGTGAAAGACAAGAAGCAAGGCTATAGAGAGTGTGGTATGGCAGAGTAATCAAATTGACTCAAAAGGTGAAAGGCCAGGTAAGCTTTTTTGTCCAGGGCAGAGGGGATTTCGAGAAAATGAGGTGGGTTTTACGTTGTATGATGCTTTGAAACCATCACACTCATGAGAGTTTCTCAAGCTGCACCCACCTATGTATTAAACAATGCGCTTCAATTGGTTGACTTGGCATAAACCATTTGTGGTTACCTTATCGCACGACAACTGCTTGTCTGACCTGATGAAACTTTCCGACAAGTGGTCGTTGTAAAATGTGTGACGAGACTCTGCCGACCGAGCTCAGTCACTGATGCAACGAGGCTTCAAACCCCTAACCTGCGGAGGAATTCTGTCACCGACCTCGTCTTCCCCCAGACCTCTGCCATGGCATGAGGGAAGAGTCGGTATTTTGAACGATGAATGGTTGAAACATAGAATTATTGTAAGGCGGTGATGAATAAGATTTCTGTGCTACAACCCATCACATGAAGAATCAGGAAGTTAATAAATTTAACAAAGTCTGTTGCTCAACAGCTCCAAGCTTGCAAAGAACTTACACGCAACTTTGAATCTCTTCTATACCTTTTCCACCAATGAATTGCGTATAGAGAAGAACAAGAATATGTGGTGCTCCCCTCTTCTGCAGGTGACCTGGGTTTTGAATCTATGGCGCCCATGAGCTCCAAAGATATCGGGGTGAGGTATGTGGGATCATTGACCCGATATACGGCTGTTTCAAAAACAAATGTTGCCGCTGTTATTGATTTTTTCCATATCCGCGGTTAACTGCGATTGTGCCCATCTGGGTTGTTTATCCCAACTGGGATCAGAAATGGAGCATAATCAGGCTCAAGCCTGCCCAAGCATTGGGATCAAGCGCTGAAGCTGGCTCCAATCTGGCTCCAGGCAGGCTCCAGGCAAGCGATGCGATTCAACCTTAGACCACTTCATCGGCCATTTCCGCGCTTTTTCTACCATATTGAAAACCACGGATGTGAGAAGATAGTCGAAAATAACACCAGGAACATTTACTTTTGAAACAGCTGCACTCTCTCTGGAGTGTTTTGCCAATATGTATTGCGCTTGTGAAATGGTTTTACGGTAGTTTGGTGAGGATAGTGAACCCTGGAGATGCAAGGTCCGCGTGATGACCGCGTTTCATTTTAGATTGACTGGTCTGATGATTGATGATGAAAGTCATCTGACGGTTGACCAGTGCAAAAAAGATGTGTAGCATGTGAAACACAGCAACAGGCTACAGCCCTGAGATGTATGCATGGATGTGATCTTTCACAGATCCAAGTAGAGTTTCACTCAAAAAGATTTCAAGTTGAAGTCAAGTGAAACCAATTTAACCTCAACGCATTCTTGACCATTATCAACAAATCAACCAATACTAAACAAAGAACAAAGAAAGAAAAAGAAAGAAAGAAAGAATGTCTCACTCTTCTGATCAAGCATCAGATTCAAATCAAAACCAAAATCAAATCAATACAAACGCTTCAAACCTTTCAAATCAGTTATCAGATTTACGTCAAGCTTATCAAAGAACTGGATCCAATCCACCTTTACCAAACATTCCATTACCATCTAGTTCCTATTCTAATTACAATCCTGAATTAAATAACTCTTATAAAACCACATATCAACCTGATAAAAACAGTCATGAAAATTCAGATAAAACAAATGGAAGTCCTTCTACTCAAAGAATTCCAATCCTCAAACATGCAAGTTCAGTTTCATCAAGAAATCAAATGCATGGTCTCTCTTTTCAATCTTTGTCTTCAAGACTTCATCCACCTGGAACAAGTGGTGTTAGTCCAAGTCAATTAAATGTAGAAGATCTAACTGATGAACAGAAAGCTAGAATTGTAAAACGACATTTAATGAATAAAGATGAACAAGAAGCAGCAAGACGAATCACGAGTTCATCTAAATTGAATGATGATTTAATTGATCCATTCGATCCAAATTCAATGGATTCAGACGAACCAAATTCAAATAGAGATAGTGATGTTGAACCATCTGGTAGTCAAGAACCTATCCTTTATCCAACTCCTTATCATTTACAAGGTGGTGATATTCATCATGATCTTTATAAATGGGCTAATAAGTTTCCATCAGGTGTTCGACTTTCACAAGCTGGCGATTCTCGTCCATTAAATCTTGCTTTAAATCGAACTAGATCTGTTTCAATCTCGGGTACAAGTCTTCGAATTAGCGAACAAGGTACTGCTACTGCTATCAATGATACTCCCTCAGATTCACCCCCTGCTATGGCCTATAAGGATATCATGCAACCTGGCGGTTTCAGAAGAGCTTTCTTGTATCAAAAACGACAAATGATTGGAGAACCTTATAATGGCCAAGATAGCCGCAAATTTACAAAAAGGTAATCTCTCGATTCATGTCTACTTGACAGGTATTTGATACTGATGAATTGAATATAAACCTTGCTTCAATAGCTTTGTAGACTTTTTATCTTTGTATGGTCATTTCGGTGGTGAAGATTTAGAAGAAATAGATGAAGAAGATGAAGCTGCATATCATGCTTTACAAGGATTACATGATCTAGAAGATGGTGATTTTGATGATGAACATATAGAGGAAGGACAAGTTGGAGAACGTTCAGCTTTATTAGGAAAATCTAATCGTAAAGTTAGTGATCAACGTTCAAGACCTATTAACTCAAGACGTTCAACTTCACGTCATTCAGATTCAAAACATCCTGGTTTCAGTAGAGGAAGTAGTGGTGATGCAACTGTTACTCAAGCTGTTCTTATGTTACTCAAATCACTTGTTGGAACTGGTGTTTTATTCTTGGCTAAAGCTTTTTCCAATGGAGGAATGTTATTCTCAGTCTTGACTCTGGTCTTTATTTCTATGATCTCAACCTATTCTTTTGTTCTTCTTGTTCGAACAAGGTTACAAATCCCAGGTGGATTTGGAGGTCAGTAATTTCAAAATTACACAATTATTCGTCATCTCTCTAGTCTAATCGTGATCATATTCTATATTTCAATCCAGAAATCGGGGGGATCCTTTACGGTCCTTGGTGTCGTTGGGCCATTCTTTCATCATTAGTAATCTCACAATTGGGATTCGTAGCGGCTTATACGTAAGGTTGATTTCAAATGATTACAAGGTGCATCGAACTGATATAAATGTGATCTTTTGAAATAGAATTTTCATTGCTCAGAATCTACAAGCATTTGTTCTCGCTATCACCAATTGTAAACTTTTGATTCCGATCTATGTACTGATCTTCGGTCAACTAATTGCTTATCTACGTAAGTTGGACCATTTGTCCTCAAATATTCATACATTCAAACTTCGAAAGTGGTCCTAATCAAACTTTGAATCTCTTCATTCCAATCTCTAGCGTTGTCAATGATAAGGAATATCCAAAAGCTTTCAGGAACAGCCCTTATAGCAGATGTTTTTATTCTGATTGGTCTAGTATATGTCTTTGGTTATGAAATCAATTTAATGGCTACAGTTGGAGTGGCACCAATCCAAGCTTTCAATCCAGACAGTTTCCCTCTACTGATCGGTACTGCAGTATTTGCATTTGAAGGAATTGGTCTAGTTCGTATTCTCGATGATTTTTCCTTCTTGAGCTTGTAAACATAATTAAAACTCATGATCGTTGATCGGTTTCGATTTCGATTTGGTATCGATCTAGGTAATTCCTATAACAGAAAGTATGAAACAACCTGAAAAGTTTCCAAAAGTTTTAACAGGTGTAATGGTAGGTCTTACTTTCCTATTCGCTGGTGCTGGCGCCCTTGGATATGCTGCTTTTGGTTCAGATGTTCAAACTGTGGTGATTGTGAATTTACCTCAAGAAGATAAGTAAGTTGAAAATCGAAAATGAATTTATAGATTATCATATGATTGAAGGATTTTTTTCTTTTTAGGATGGTGAATGCCGTACAATTTCTTTATAGTATGGCTATTATGTTATCTACTCCACTTCAATTATTTCCAGCTGTGGTAAGTGAAACTTTCTCATCCTATTCTCAGTTCCCATTCACTGAAAATCAGAATCCACTAAACCAAACTTTTTATTCTCTTCTTTTTTGACATGATTTTATCTAGAGGATAATGGAAAATGGATTATTTAGTACAAGTGGAAAATATAGTAATAAAGTGAAATGGGAAAAAAACTTATTTAGAACTTTAACTGTTATCTTTTGTTCATTTATCGCTTGGGCAGGTGCAAGTGATTTAGATAAATTTGTTTCTTTGATCGGTAGTGTTGCTTGTGTACCTTTGTGTTTTTGTTATCGTAAGTGATTCTTCAATCTTCATGAAACAAAGGGGTAACATACTGATTCTTGGTTCTTTATTTGTTTATAGCTGCTATGTTACATTATAGAGCTAGAGCTAAAACTGTTAAACAAAAAATTGCTGATATTGCTTTATTTATCTTTGGAGTTCTTGCAGCAATTTATACAACTGCTCAAACGGTAAGTTCTTTTTCAATATACATATATCAGTATGAATTAAAGGAAATTAAAGCGTTTTTTTGTGGTTTGTTATAGTTGAGTATAATTTTTGGTGACATTGAAAATGGTAAAGATGATGGACCTAAATATGGAAATTGTGATGTAGTACCTTAAGTATGAAGTAGTTTTCTTTTCTTTAATTTCAAATTACAGCATTGTCAATTACAGAAGGGTTTTAAGTAGGATTGAAAGACAAAGAGAAAAGGAAAGAAAGGGAAGTAGAATGAAAGGAGTAAACAGTTGAAATGTTTGTGGGGAATGTTTTTTTCTTTGATTAGAGGTTTATGCAAATTATGCTTCATTGTATCAGTAAATATCATCATCATCATCATCATTTTCCTCTCTTTTTACAATGAGTCCTTGTCTTTGGAGTATGTAACTCGGTTTATCATTGATTTGTGAAATGTATTTTTAAATTTTTCTCCCTCCAGCTCCAAGATAAGTTTTGACTGAACAGAGGGTCTCTTGTAAGGATACTTGTACATTTGAAAGGGTTTTGTTGATCCCAATATTTTCAAAAGAGACACAAGGAAACATTTTGTTTAAATCAATGGATTTTATTTGGCTTTAAAAAATCTATCCTTCATTGAACATTCATCATTTTTCATGCCCCCAAAAAATTTCAAAAGAATCAGCTTCAGAGATATGTACTCCTGTTGCTTTATCTTTGGGCTTGGAATCAAATTTGCAGGAAGTAAATGGCAAGTCCTGTAGCTATGATGCTCAAGATTGGAAGCACATGGTTTGAGATTTGATCAATTTGATCATTCAATCATGATTCAAGATCTTTTTTCTTTGATTGTCTCCTTTTCAGAAGACATGAAACACTATTGAATTGCTGTTAATGTGTCTACATTTAACAATCATCTATATACATCTTGAACTTCATGACCAAAGACTGATCTAGGTCCTCATTTGTCTGACTCTGATAACAACTCTGATCATTTAAACCACTGTAAAGTTTTTACAAATCCAGATTCAATCTTTTTTAGACCAAAACAATCTGCATGATGATGATGATGATGATATTGATGATGATATTGAAATGTTACATTGTTTTTCCCTTTGGTTTCATCAAAAAAAAGAAAACTCCAAAAGATCTATGTATGTATCTAACAAAAGAAAATAAAATGTGTTGTTTTTGACCTCATATTCTAACATTTGTTTCAATTTTTTTTTGTAAACCTTTTTGATTAGGTATAAAATCTTCTTGTAGCAGTTCTAGTAGGACTAACATGAGGTAAACCTGAATCAAGATCAGAATATCCATGTGAAGTTTCCTTTCCGAGTTTAGGCATCACTCTTGATGCTGCATAATCAATTCCTCTATAAGCCCATCCTGTACAAACTACAATACCTCCTACAATACCTGCAAGTCTAACTAAGAATTGAACCAAGGTTGTAGTCCTTTCTCGGATGGTTAGGTACATTGGTTCAATGTCTTGATGAATTGATATACGACGGAATTGTCGATGCGTGAAAAAACAAAATGAGTCAGTGTGGGTGCAATGATCGAATCTATATTGAATCTATAGAGATCTCATAGATGTGGAGGAAAAAGAATAAAGATAATTAGGCTCGCTTACCATACTTAAAGAAGATTCCAGGAACTCCTCGACCATGTTCGGTTGAACGTGACATATCAGTGACAGAATACTGATTGGTGAAAACCTGACGTCCACCACTATTGATATACGTAGTTGGGACAACACTGATGAAGTATTGCTGTATTGGTGGACAATGCTTTCAATTTGACCGCATCAAAAATCTTGGGTGTGAAAGAGACTTACAAATATATGAAAGGCTATATAAGAGATAGCATAATGTAAGATTAGTCTAACTGTCAAGGATTAGGAAGAGAGAAGCAAAACAGGACACTAACGCTTGTCTGTGATTTCAACACTATTGTCTAATGGTTGTACCATATTGGGGAAAAATTCTCCAAAGCTGAACTCGCTGATCACATGTGTTAAATTCATTACTAATCAACCCATTTAATCAGATCTCATTATCGGCAAAAGATGATGAAAAATAGTAAAACTACGAGGGAACATACATTGATGATCGGTGTGTTCCCAGCTTAAATATCCATGTCCTAATGTGGTCTATCAACGGAAAAAATATGTGAAATCAATAGCTGCGAGAAACGAAAAAGTTTGAGGGAAGAGTGAGAATTGAGACAGACGATATGTAGATTGCCAGTGACTTTCTTGACATGTGTACTACCAAAGATTCGACAAGCTGGTCCTTCTGGGATCAAGGGTTTGGTTTTTTTGAATGTTGGACGTGTCCATCCTCCCTGAGCGTCCCGTACCATCTTAGAAGCTGAAATCCCAGCATCGTTATTTGTCCTACTGATCGAACAAAAAACACAAAAGGTAAATAAATCAATGACGCAAAGTTGATCGGATCAAAGGATTCTCAAACGTACTCAAGTCGTGCTGCTTGACCTATAGAAAATTCAGTCTAAGAAATCATTTAGCATTAAACCAAATCAGTTTGAAAGGAGTATACTAAAATTCAAGGTATGACTAACTCCTTCTTTCTTAAACTCATCACTAATATGCATTCTATCCCCAACTGCGTCCCGAACATCGATACTAAGATCTTGTAAAATTCGAAATGACTGTTGAGCTTACAATTTCCAACATATTTTTTTCCATAAATTGACTCACAATGACATGGCATATTGATAGTCACATCAAAATTAAGACCTAAATCATGTCCCACTGTATTATCCACACTGAAAGAATAAGTAGCTGCTCCAAAAAGATATTCTCGAAGTTCATGCCAAATTAAAATCATAATCAAGAATCCGACTACGATCGTTAAGATTCCACCACGACTTGATCTTTCTTTGTAAGTTGGTATTGTTTTTGGGAATGCATCAAATTCTCGAATTGCTGGTAAATCCATCATCGACTTAGGTGCTGTTTCCATGATTTGATGAATTCAATGACTTGTTGACTGGAGTGGTGTGCTGGTGTTGACCGTTCTGAAGAAGTCGCTGGAACGAGCCTGTTGACCGATCAGATGTCACATGAAATAGGTTGTAACAGGTGTGGACATGTATGTAACAACTTACAAGCCTCACTCATGCACGCAGCGGGCGATGCGTGCTAAACTATTTCTACCTTCATCAAGTCCTTTATATTCTCCATCTGTGCAGACCAATTCAAAAGATTTTATATTTTAAATTCAATAGAATGTTTTGTGAATGCTTGGCTAACCTGAACACAAGCAGCCATAGCAGCTCTCATAACAATACCCAAAGTCAGCTATTTTGGCTATGCCGTAGATGCCACAGGGGAATGGATGTTCTACAAAGTCTTTCATTGATCTAGAGTCTAAATGTCTTCATAAACATTGTCAGTGAAGACTGCGCCGTAAACTCATAAACTCACAAATAAGAGATATTCTACTATATCTATATCATACAACGTTGCTGAGGTATAAGTAGTCAACACTCAAGTCTATAAAATTAATAAATCACAAACTAAAAAAGTGAAAATGACAACAATCATCCTCGTTAAAAGAATCCATCAAATACGCATAGAACCGGACACTATAGTGTACAACTGTCGCAGAGATCAAAGTTTAGACAACTTGGGTTCCCCGATTGCCAACTCTTCATCCCATGGGTTCACATTGAACCTCACACCATTCAAAGGTTCTCTAGCAGCAAAGGCAATCAAGTTTTCATATACGTTTCCATCATATCGACCCAATTCGGAATTGAGCAGATAATCAGGAATAGCAAGACTATCTACCAACGCTACAGCTTCTGGTCGGATTTGTGCCAACAAAGCATATACACGGTTGCGTAGGAGCGTGTGTTGCGAGGGGTTGATGTAACCCGAGGCGAGAAACTCGCTGGCTTCGATGTCCATTGTGTGACAAGCTGTAACATCATTTCAGAAAATATCAGTACCAGACTCTTTCAGGAGACCCTGACCAAACAAAAACTCACCAAATAATTCAAACACCACTTTCACAATTTGGTGAAGCGCAGGGTTTGTTTTCAAGGCGGAATCATGCAAAATAGCTTGGGCGAAATTTCTCACAAGGATGAATTGACAATGGGCTACCTGTTGAGGTCACCAGAGGATATGAAGTCAGCAGGAATATACATCTTACAAACAAGATGAGAGAATACGAACTGAGCATCTATAGATATCCACCAAAAGACTATTCCACGTGCGGCGTTCGATATCTCTCTTGCGCGTAGCTTGTGCGATCAGATACGCAGCTCGATGACCAAAGGCGAGTACAAAGGCTTCTACATCATGGACTGTTTCACACAGAGGCATGAATATCAGCCGACAAGGCAAATAAGACACGAAGATAAAGAAACATACAGTCTCCACTGTACCGAACCGGAGATTTGGCTTCGGGGTTTGAGAGATATCTGAGGATATACTCTCCGGTCACGTTCTCTGCTGAAAGCTTCGCATTTGGATCCGCATACAAAGTCCGCATAGTCTTGAACAGATACCGACCGGTCTGTTGAGTAATCATATAACTATCGCCTGTCATAAGATCTGTCAGATCTAAAGGATTCTCTAATGGGAGAAAGGTAAAAAACTGACCTTCCCAAGTCACTTGCGGTAGATAATCTGCATAAAGCGCTCCAAGACCGGAGGCTTGAGAAAAGCCATGTCCACCACACGCTCGGCGGCATTCTTCGATGGCCTGCGCAGCCATTATAGTCGTTAAAGATTTGAGACCAGAAGATGAAGCGTGTACATCTGCCAACAAAGAGAAATCTCCCTCTGCCATATTTTTCTGACTTTCACTGTAGAGACGAAACATCTCTTTCCCCTATGGAAGCAGAAGATAGTTAGTCAGCTTGAATCATCACTGTCATTTTAGCAAGAAAATAACCAACGGTGTAGTGACATGCAAACGCTTGAGCAATGATCGGAAAGATACGATACTGGACCATTTGATAGTCTAGCACTTGATTTTCTGCCGGCTTTTTGCCATCCATCTGCGAGCATTAGTGCCATGAGGGGAGGAAGTTAGGATTATCTATGATCAATCGAGCCAGTTCTGAAGATGACTAACCACTGGAGCATCCTTGTCAACAAATTGACGCCGGATAGCACAATAACGCACAGCAACCGTACATGCACGCGCCAGCACAGCACGCGCTTGCTGTACAATCCCGGCTCGAATGTAGGTCATGGTACCATAAGCTAGCTTGGCATTTTGGGGCTTGACATACACTCCGGTATCAGGATCAACCTTGGAGAAACGACTCAAGAGATGATTGTGAGGGATTCGAACATGATCGAATAAGAGCATCCCATTGTCGGTAGTTTGGTACCTGTCCATGGCGTTCAAAATAAGTTATTCGTATCAATGATTGAAGTACTTGAACAAGATGAGGCAAATGCTAGCTCACCCCAATTTAGGTCCAATATCACCAATGGTTCTACCCTCAAGTGGCTCTCGGGTGATCAGGTCTCGTATGGGCACCACGAATGGATGGGGGCCGTGTTTAGCCTCGTTGGTGATCAATTGAGCCATCACAACGGCATGATCGGCAGATCGGCCAAGGCCACCTTTGCAAGAGTTCGATTTGATTAGCTCTCATTAAGGTTGAGATCATAAGATATTTTACAAACCAATCCACCACTTGGACGCAGTTAAAAACGGAGAGTTGATCACAAATTCCTTAGTTTTTGGGTCATACATAGCAGTGGTTTCTAAGCCTTGAACATTTGACCCGTGTCCAAGTTCAGTTTGGGCATAGCAACCAATAATCTCAAACTTTGAGAGAGAAAAAGCTTCAGCCGAATAGAAATCGTGTGAAGCATGATGAAAATGTAAAAACAGTGGCACTCACTTTCTCTGCACGCCTAGTGAAAAGCTCCTGTTGTTCATCATCACCTTGTTCCGTGAGAGTCTTGAGAAACATTGATTTATGGAGGGAGCTGAGGAACACCACAAAGCCAATGCATTTAGCAAAGTACTTGTGAAAGGGTTAGGGGTTGAGAAAATCTTGTCAAGATCTTACAATGGCCCAGGCATGTCAATTAACATCTCTGCCATAGCAGTATCTTCAGCATCCCAATGGTGCTCCTTAGCTAATTGTACAAAACGTTTTTCTTTTCGAAGAGCATGTCGAAAACGTTCACTTCGGCCTTGATAATTAAGGCGCGTTTTGTCAAAAGCTTCCTCATCTTGAATAATATTCAATAACTTGGCTTGACGATCCAGAAAAGGTTGACCGTAGAGGTAAGTAGTAAGTGCTTCACTACTAAAGCTAGCATGACTTCGTTCGATTTGTAATAACTTTGGACCTGCTGTACCAGATGGTTTAAGATGGGAAGCGACCGTAAAGTTTTGTTTTAAGGATGATTTATCGGCTGTCCAGGGCGGTATGGAAGGTGTAGGCCCTTGAGATGTCGAATGAGAAGATTGAAGAGGATCTCGCAAGATGGCTGCATCTGGGGGACCGACAGGGGCTACGGATTCGTCAGACATGATTTTTTGAGGTGAAGTAGGATGAATGATAAGATGAAAGCTATGATGATACGATCTTGTAAGGAGAATGGAGGATGCTGATGATGATGAGGATCTCAATCAAAGTCTCAGATCGGATTTGGTCAACAGTTGAAGGTCAATTTCACTCGGTTGACGTCATGGTTTCAGGTGGTGTCAGGTAAGGTCAGGTCAGAAACCTAAATACGATGGACGAGAGAGGAGGCTGGAGGAGGCTGGAGGACAAACCCCCAAACCCGAAGCGAAAACCCTGTGTATGGGTACCGAATCCGGGTAATTCTCTCATTAATCCTCACAAGAATTCGATAAGAAACTCTGCAGACGATGCCAGAGACAGTTCCAGGGACCAGAGGACCCCCAACTGAGAATGCAGTTTAATCATCACATCAAAATAACAGATAATTTTCTGAGTGATCTCGCAAGCAGCAGGTTCTTTGAACCCCTATCCCCTTCAAAAGTGCTTGTATAGCACATATCATGTCACCAGGTGGTTTACCTTAGCAAAGAACGGTAAATTTTGACATTGGTTTTCCTCGGCTTTTGAGACCTTTCACATTTAATGCAAGATCCTATCTTATAGACCGAGGTTGTCTGACTTGAGCTGACTTGAGGCCTAGCCACCAAATACATAGAGTTGTGGCTACGTGGAGCAAGACAGAATCAGTTAGAAGTGAAACGTTACTAATGCACAACCAACCATATGGAAGGAGGAAAGGTCATCCATACCTTGGCTTTTCTGTCACTTACATATATATATAGCACATCTTGTGCATTGAAGATGTGGTCAATAAGGGTATGAGAAGGCCTTTAGAGTTATCGAAATACAATTTCATCTTTCACCTTTCTCTTCATCGTTTTCAACACCTCTGTGTACTGTATGTACTGCTTTCAGAGCATCCACTATCGTTGCTGTAAACAGCCTCGGTACTGTAAATTTGACTGAAATTTACCGTACCGAGGCCAAAAATCCCCAATCGTGTACAAAGTACAGATCGGTAGCTACAGATTCGGTCAAAAATCTGTAGAGGTCCAGTAAATCTACTGCACCTCTACAGAATCTGTACCGAATCGGTATCCACCAAATCTACCGATTCTACATAGGGATTCATCACCACCTTCCCAAAATCACCCTCTACTATCCTTCAATCTCTATCACCCTCTCATCGATCAACTCTTTCATCTTCTCATCGATCAAATTTTTCATCTTCTCATCAATCAAATTTCTTGCCTTCTTGTCAATCAACCATTTCAACCAATCTTCTCAATAATTGACTTGATCAAATCAAAGTGACTTCATCAAATGAACATCTTGTGCTATTTTTTTGCTTTTTTTGATTGTCCTTGTTGTTGTACAATCGTCCATCAGACAATGATGGATCCTTGAGGTCATTCATCAGACCATGATGGATCTCAGCATCTCGTAAATCTAGATACTTTGAGACTATCCATGTTTCTGAGCCAAGGTCAATAGCTTGCAGATTATTTACTGAACGTACAATTCTCTATGATTGTGGGGCAGGGTCATTTCTGTACGGTACGTACCGTACAGAACGATATTACTGAAACGATAGTGGATTTCCACCTTTCTGTACCTAAATTTACTGTACTGTGAAATCTGTACTGTAAAATTTACTGAAATTTTACTGTAACGATAGTGGATGCTCTCATAGCAGTAGTTATTGTGGATATACAAGCTGCTATGCACACAGATGTCGTGCATCTCATTTCATTTCATTTCCGATTACAACACACAGCATTTACATACACTACATACCATGCCCTCACACTACAAGCTAGGGTAAGTAGCCCTGAAGTTAGAAACACATCATCCATCGGTGTCATAACCTCACGAGCCCCGAAGTCGAACACACGAAAAGCACCCATCCCTCAACACACCATCAAAACCACGCTATTTCTTCAATCTTACCACCATCATCATCATTCAACTCAACCTCAACATGTCAAACGGAAATGGAATTGTATCCCACCTTGAATCGATCGCTGATTCCTATGAACAACGCCTTTTCTCTCAGAATAACACTCAACCTAGTACTCAAAGTCAACCAACTGGTACCCAGGACACGGTCACGGCTACTTCTCAATCGAAGAAATCCAGATCAAACAACAAAAACAAACGAAAACGCAGTGAGAACCAACCCTTAGCCGAGGCCAATATCACCGTGGAGGATATACAAGCCATGAACAAGAGCTCGGTTGAGCTCCGCTGTTTAGCCAAGAAGCACGCTCAAAGTGGTATGACCCAAGAAGTACTCCGCTCAATCCTTAAGTTTCACGAAGAGATACAAACTCTTGTAGCCATCAAAGCACTGGAACTAGGTACTACGGTCTCTACCATTGAAGAGATTTTGTGAGTTCAAGCTTTCAGAATGTATTGGTAAAAAGTCACTTATGAAAAAATCCTTTGAATGTGCCTTGTAGTGGCAAGTACCTCGGTGTACGTCAACCATCCGCATGGAATGGGTTTCTTCAAAGCGAGTTGGCTAAGGCGATTTTCAAAGCTGGCAAGTAGTTTTACTCTTCGACCTCCTGACCGTCTCATTTACGTACTTACTTGACTCACTTCTACTTAACAGCTGGTGGTATTGGTAGTGGCAAGGCTATGAGAATATTGAGCGATAAATGGGCTGATATTCCTGTTGAAGAGAGAAAATCTTACAAGAAAGCCTCACTGGACGCAAACGTCGCCGAATCCACCGAGGAACAAGTGGCTGCAATGGATATTGGGGCACAGGCGCGAGACAACATCCTTCAACCCCGGACGAGCGTGCTGACCAACCCTCGATCGCTTAAGCAGTACAAAGATACAGCTGAACGGTTTTTGGACCAAACATTAGCCAAGGTAAAGTATTCCTTACCTTTTGTCATCTCAGAATGCAATACTTATCATTCAAATGATAAGCAGTGCATCCCAGTAGCACAAGCCAACCACTTCGAAATGGTCCTCATTGCGGTCTCGACTCACATTGGCAATCACAGCTTCCAAGCCACCCGGAACACTGTAGGCGTCAATAAATATATCAATATGATATATAAATCGGAGGGTGTTGATAAGTTACCAACCAAGCTGCAAGCTTATCTGGTTGGCAAAGCACCTGATGAGATGGAGACCGATTTGGCTAGTGAGTTTGAAAACACCTCAAACGTAACAATCACTCATCTTCCTCGCTTTTGCAGGTCGAAGTCAAAGACTTCAGTCTCAAGTGGTCAATGCGCTTTCCAAATTTTTATGTAAGTTTCGATTTTCACTTATCAAATTGGAATCTCACCTCTTCTGACACGTTGTGATTTAGATGAGACCACGGAGTTGAAGAAATGGCCTTGGAGCAAGTGTGATGATACACTTGCCCAAGCTGGATATGAATTAAAATTATTACCTGGTGCTCGATCAGTGGAAGAGACCTTCAAGATGCCAAGCAGCAACCTCAACTCGGCCAAACTTGTGGCTATGAAAGCAGACCTCAAGGACAACTTGATTCAATTGGTACCGTTACAACGTACAGCTCAACGTACTACCTCTCTTGACCTATCCCAATCCGATCTCAGCCGTAACCAAATCCAACAGAATCAAGATACAAATAGCAGCGACCTCCCAAGCATTCAATCAGATACATCAAATCAAACTCAAAATCATCTTCATGATCAAATTCAGAACATATTCAACCGTGTCAATACTAATATTGTAGAGCCTCACGGCCATATTGTGGACCCCTTGCTTTTTGGAACCGTGTGAATACCAAACTTATTGTTATATTCTTAGTTATCGTTGTTGATTGGTTGTACATTCCTTTATATTACACAATCTTGTTATGTTGTTGATGTAATCGGGAATCGGTGTTATTTGGAGAAAAGATATAGCTTGCTCTTTGAATTAAATGATTATACAGTTGATCATCATATTTGTTGATGTATTGGATCAAAAGCCTTGAAAATCATTGAGCTCTACAACCCAATTTGATACCGATCAAAGTTAGGATTGAGAAACAATTAATACTTAAAGAACAACATATATATATATTTAACTTCCAGATCGTGAGCTCAGCTGAGTTGCATTATCCCATTTGTTCATTCATCTTGCATGTGCTCCTTCTGGAAAAACATCACAGATCCCGTGTTGCATCCGATCCGATATCGGCAATGAACAGCCATTGCCCATAGGGCTCTGGAACCTCACAAATACTGATATCCACCTGATGTTGTAGGTATATAAGGTGTTCGATTCGGTTGTACCTTTCCTCCCACCTTCATTCATTCAAGTTTAGTGTTTGCTTTATGTTCTAGGAATATCTATTTCACTGCTGTTCTCAGTTTGATCGTATTACAATTTGTAAAGATTCGTTTCAATAATGGTGACCGTTTACCCTTTTCTTTCATCTCAATTTTCTTTCATCTCAATCGTCACCACCATCATCTCAACCACCACCTCCTCCTCCACCAACATCATCTCCTCAACAATCTCAACCGTCTCCTCAATCTCAACCATCCCAATCATCTCATCCAACACCACCATCACCATCATCTCAACCGTCGTCTCAAGTACCATCATCATCACCTAACGCAACCGAGGAACTGTTGAGTGAAGAGTCACCTTCGGCCGGTGTCACACCATCAGCTCCTCCCCCAATCAACTATTATTCTTTCTTATCACCAGGACCCAATGCGAAGGCCAAATCTACTAGCCGCCACCGAGATCTGTCATGGGAAAACTCGTTTCCGTTTAAGAAAGATATTGCTCTACCCGAAGTCAGGAACTGGGTTTGGCAATGCAGACATTGTGGCCAATTTGGTCACTCATTCTTAACGCACTGCCCCTTGCGCAAGCTACCTAGGGTAGCTGAACACCACCGCGACTGGCGTGTTGTTCATTTGGACGAAAGGCTTGGTTGTACCAATTTTTATAGTGTCTTGGCTCTTTATCCAAGTTTAGCAGGATACCAACATGTGTAAGTCCATTTGATTCGATCGCGCACTACAAAAAAATCCTGGAAATTAACATATATCTAATGATTGATTTATTAGACAACCTAACTCTGACAAATTGATCGCTGCTGTACCAACCGGTTCCATCTCACAACCAGCTGTGTGAGTTAAGGTGTTAAAGTACTAATGTATACATATTCAATTTTTGCTTAATGGTTGTTATCTCTGATTAGATCGAACGGGCCATCTCCAGATCGTGTAGTTCCATCACAGTCCACCTCGTACATGGACGTATCCACCCCTCAATATCAAGTTCCGTCACCGTCAACCTCGTTCATGGTTGAATTGATGGACGAAGCCTCCATGTTAGAATGCTGCAGCTGCCACAGTTGCAGCTGTCCTTGCCACACTAAATAATGTTTGACCGGGTAAGTCGTTACAAAAGTAATAATTTCTTATCTCGTTGATTTATTGACTTTATGTATTGAATTTTGTATCTACATATTCTAGACGATCAGTTTCTTGTCTTTAGTGACTTCATCTTGAGGTGTGTTCGCGCTACGCCAGAATCAATCCTCAAACCAAGTGTTTGCAAGTTGTATCATCTTGGTTATGTTTTTTTTGAAACCATTTGTGAAATTATATATTCTTTGTGCCTAAGTAGGCGCAAACTGAGTGACTTGTGTTCAAGAAAATCACACAATGAAGATGTTGAGATTTGAAAAAAATGACTTATGGGAGCTTTGGAATTTCCAAATAAATTAGTGTGATAAAAATGTCACCAAAAATGGATTGAAAGCCACTTTTGAGGTTGAAGGGGTGGAGATGAGTAAAAAAGTGAATAATGAAGATTGTTCAGCGTGCCAAGAAGCACATTATCAAAGAAGCATTCAACCGATTTGCATCATCTTCAATGATGAATAGTTGTTTTTGTACCTGCGCGGAATAACTATGTACCTAGACATATATTGAAAGCCACTTTTGAGGTTGAAGGGGTGGAGATGAGTGAAAAAGTGAATAATGAAAGTTGTTCAGCGTGCCAAGAAGCACTTTATCAAAGAAGCATTCAACCAATTTGCATCATCTTCAATGATGAATAGTTGTTTTTGTACCTGCGCGGAATAACTATGTACCTAAACATATATTGAAAGCCACTTTTGAGGTTGAAGGGGTGGAGATGAGTGAAAAAGTGAATAATGAAAGTTGTTCAGCGTGCCAAGAAGCACATTTAACCCAGAAGTTTTCAACCAATTTGCATCATCTTCAATGATGATAGTTGTTTTTTACGGGATCCTCTAAGTCACCTGCAAGCCTAAGCTGCCTGCGTCTCCTTCTTCTTTGGGCGTTTTTTTTTTTTTTTTTTTTTTTTTTTTTTTTTTTCTTTT